TTTTTTTTTTCCCATCTCTTCTCCTTCTGGAACTACCAAAATACGAAAATTAGTCTGTTTAATGGTGCACCCTATGTCATGTAGGGTTTCTTCATTCTGTTTTTTTTTATTTTTATAAAAAGGCATGGGCCTTTTATACTCATTCATTCTTCTTCAAAAATAGAGAAGGAAAGAATAAATAAAAGACAAGAATACCTGAAAATTTAATATATTTCACCTATAAAAGAATTTCCTAAGATTCTTAGCCAGAATTACTGTGACCAAATTAAGATGCTAAGATGAAATTTTATCTGTGATTGTGCCTGTGGGTTCGCAGTAACATAAAATAGTGAAGTTTCAAAATTTCATCCAAAATTTTGAGGAATTTTTTAAATTGATTTAATTACTGCATTTAGAAAACAACTGGCTTTACCTTTATGTTGCAAAACGTAGCTTAATCTTAATTTTAGTTAAGTGTATTTATCTGGAGAGTCAAGCAATTTCCACCTTAACAGAAATTCAGAACTTGGTACCTTTTTTTCTTTTTAAATACCCTACTTCACATTTCTTCTAATGGAGTCAATTAAAACTACCGCAGACAGTGTGTATGTTGAGGTCGGGAAAAGGGTTGTTTTATTGTTTGTTTTCTTTTATTTGAAGACAAACTTAACTCTTTATTGCACGATTTTTCTCTGGAACGAGCGCTCCTCCTTCAGCGTGGGATGGTATCCCCTCCCACCTCTGCACCTGCTGCGACCACCCGCCACGTCTCCTTCCACGCGCGTGTCCCGCGCGGCTTCTTTCCCGGGTGTGCGCTATGTGCATCTCGCACCAACCAAAGTAGCTTCTCTCTTTCAGCCACCTTTTAGGCTATTGTCCTGCTTTTTCCACCGTCAAACCCTTGGGAAGTGACCGCACCCTTATCTCTTTCAGTCATTTACCATCTAGTCTCTCATGAGCTCGGCATAAGCCGGCATCTGCACCTGTCGCTCGACCCAAACCACAGCACAGCATGGGGTGCTCACCACAGCAGAGCCCCCAGAGGTGAGCCGCTCACCCTCACCTCTCTGCAGCGGCTGCCTCGGTTTATCGCCTTTCCTGCTGCCTGATGCCTTCCCCAGCGCAGGGCTGCTCCTCTGCCCCCACACACTCCCAGTGGGCTGTGCTGGTCTGGGTTGGGGAGTCTCTGTGTTTCTCTCTGTCTCTCTCTCGTTTTTTACACCCTCTTTTTGCTCCTTGGCATATCTTCCATTGCCATGGCTTCAGACGTTATTTCAGTTCAACTGGCTCCTGCATTGTATCACCTGTCCAGACACCTCCACTAAATTTCATGTCCGCCATTACAACTGGCTACTGGCTCTTTCCGTTTCAATTGATTACTAAAATCTAAACCAAAGGTGCTCCAAACTGAGTTAATTCTCTTGTCTTTAAATATTCACCCTTTCATGCTGACTTTTTAATTTGGGGCAGTTCCAGTCTACAAGTCACGTAGACTAGAACCTCCCAAGTTCTTTTCTTCCTCTTTTCCTCCATACTCAACCAGTTGCCAGTCTCTGCAGATTTCAACATCCTAGTATCTTCTCTATTTAATCTTCCATTTCTTTCACAGTGCATTCATTAGGGTTCTCCAGAGAAAAATGACAGGATGTATGTATGTGTATACACAGAAATAGACCTATGTTAAAGAACTGGCTTATGCGATTATGGAGGTTGGCAAGTCCCAGGTCTGCAGGCTGGAAACCCAGGAACAGCCAATTCTGCAGTTCAAGTCCAAAGGCTGTCTGCTGGCAGAATTTCTTCTTGCTCTGGGAGAGGCCAGTCTTTGTTCTATCCAGTCCTCCAGCTGATTGGATGAAGCCCACTCATACTGTGATGGGCAATCTGCTTTACTCAAAGTCCTTTGACTAAAATGTCATTCTCATCTAAAAACACCCTCACAGAAACATCCAGGGTAATGTCTGACCACATCTCTGGGCATCACTGCCCAGCCAAGTTGGCACATATGGTTAACTCTCATACCCACTATCATTG